ATATATATATATATATATATCATACATACACACACTGAGTGGCCAGATTATTATGACCACCCCATCAGTACTTCGTTGGGCCACGAGATGACTCCACGAGATTACGTCTTTGGGCCACCTCGTGACTCCACGAGATGTTGAAAGGTGATGCGAGGAATCTGACACTGCACTGTTGCCCTTCTGTTGTCTTGTACCAGTCTTGCCACTCTCCGTTCTGCCCTAACATTGACTAGTCGCTGACGGCCACAATTCGCACGTTCAGACCCAGATTTTCGGCTGACAGTCCAGTCTTTAAACACTTTAACAATGAGCCACTCTTGAACATTTAACGACTTCTGCTGTTTTGCTGATACTCGCTCCATGGCTCGTGCCAACAATCATCCCACGTTCAAAGGCTGTTAAATTTACCCATATCTTCAGAAACAACTTCTACTGTCGTGGTAAACAACCTGCTTCCCTATTTATAATGGTCTGGCCCTCTAGCAACTTCAGCGTGAAATTATAGCTAATTATAGCTAATTTGCCTACAAACGTCAGGTGGTCATAATAAACTGGCCACTCAGTATATATATACACATATACATACATATACAGTCTGTGCTGAGATGGTTGAAATGTGGATACATAGGCCCTTTGGTTTAGGAGATCTAATTGGAAACTTTCTCTGATGAGGTGGAGATTGCGGTGGGGTGTGTTTGTTTTATGGATTTTGTTTATGGTATTTTTTTGTGTGTGTGTGTGGGGGGTAAGTAAGGTGATTTGAGGCTCATTATTTAATGGATTGCTCACTAGGATGTATACTACTTTTTGAAATACACAAGAGAAAATTCCAAACTAATTGAATAATTGACTGTTTGGACAACACAATCCCCAGGAGGGGGATACATTCACTTTGTTTACATGGATTTTAATGCACATACAACATCGTTGACACTGTATAATTTACAATAAGACAAATATTATTGCACTGGTTGCTAATATAAGGTAGATGTTCGGTTCTGACACTTATTTTCTTTTTCCATTTTGGATCACACAAAGCCCTATGGGTAAGGCATATATATACATATTATCAATTAAAAGGATGAGTAAAAACATGGAATTAAAACAAAGGGGTTTGAGTAATTTATTAATGCTTATATTTGTATTATAAGGTATAGTCACATATGGATATGTACACATGGGCACAGGGTATTGGATGATGCTTAACTTACCTTATGTGCAACACTAAATTAATGCAATCACATACAAAAACAGGCTTATGGAAGTTGAAGCATAAGAATATTACAAGATAAGCATAGGCAGTCCTGCCTTTCTGCTCACACCCGAAGTCCCTCCCTCCTATCGTGGCCCCGAGGTCCCTGTGACAAAACTGGGCGGATTGTTTTTGTCGGAGGAATCCAACCCCTGCCTACACTCTGTACAGGGAGCTCTACCCATATCAAGCTACTCCTAGTGGGTGGTGAGTGCCGGGTGTGCGATGGTGAAAATGGTGGTGGGACTCTCTCCGTTTGGTTTAGGTGCCTAAACACATCTCTCTATACACTCTATGCTATTTAATAGCTCTATCAGCGAATTGTTGACATGCATTGATTAAATATATTGTTTCTTGTTAGATCAGTTTACCATCCCCTGATTAAGCCAAGTTGTGAAACGCGTAGGGATTGGACACATTGAATGAATATTTTTTGATCTATAATGGATATGTACAGTATGTTAAATGGGTCTATGCTCCTGTTATAATGATCTCGTTTTAAGTCTATTGCAACTACTCATTGCTCATCATAATTATAAGTAGATGTCCAGAGCACCCTACCCCGCCTTACATCAGATGTCAAGAGCCCCCCCC